TCTAGCTCCATGCTACCACCAGGCACAATAAAACTGACTTATTCATTCACATTAACCGCACAAAGAAAGGCCAGTGACAGAGATGTCTGGGATGTTCTTAGAGTCTCTATCTTGTCTACATTTCCCAGCATACTGCCAGGTTGACCAGGGGTGCAAAACTACAGAGAAAATGGCTCTCTGAGAGCACTTCAGAGTACCTGTACCCTCTCACAGTTCTCTTCACTCAGTTCAGCATATCACAGCAGGTGAATGCTAGCCTCTGTGCTAACGATAATGGATACTTCACTAGTGCTCACTTCACTAGTGCACTATCAGGCTCACTGGATGATGCCGTGTGAATCTATGATAATGATAGTTTAAACAGAACAAGTTGCTGCGATGTCCATTGGTCTTTGCTTGAGTGTGATTTTGGGGCTTGGGAAATGGCTTGGCACTTTAAATACCCTTTCACACCACTAAAAATCGATTGACTGTGCGTCTTTTTGTGTGCATGTTGAAAGTGGCCACAGGTATGATCATGTACAAAATGGTCAAAGGTTACAAAAAGGAAATCCATAGTTTCTGCTTTGTTTGAGGTCCAGGAAATTGGCTCTCTCAAATGTCAAATCTTCAATGCGAATCGATGCCCTCCTAGTGCTTTTAAAAGTTTGGTACATAAGCCACTTCATACGTTAAACAAACACTGCCTCACTTTCTGCCTCATTTAATTAGATGTCTGTTCTATAATTCACACTCTCCAAATATTGCTTACTGTTTAATGAAGACAAAAGATACACAAAGATCATTTTCAAAAGCTTAATCTAATTTGCTACCATCACCTACGGGTTGCTGTTGTGCTGCACGTAATCACAGCCATTCTGATATCTAGGGAAAACATCACTATTACTAGTGATATTGCTTTTATGCAGCAGTTACACTGTGTGACACACTATTTCCAGTTACTTTGTCTAATTTAGCTTAGCCACCAAAAAAAAAAAAAAACTTCCAAACAAAGCAACAAGAGAATCAAATGCCATGCGTTTCCAAGCAACACCCTTTAGTGGTGGTGTGTTCCATAATGAATCAGTGTTTTGAACAAATCTGTTAAGATAATGAATCATTGACTTACTCGTAAACACTGTCCCTTGTTTTGTTCCTGGCTGAATTATCGTTTTTGAACTAATTGGTTGAATCAATAATTCAGTGGCTCATTTATGAAGACAGTTGCTTGTTTCGTTTTTTAATGTATTATCAAGTGTGAAAGAATGTATAACTGATTCATAAAGACAACCTACTGGCTTAACAATGTAACCTGCAAAAAGACCGTTAATGTAAATATATACAGGTCATTTGGATGCTTCCTGTCTCTGATGGAATTACAGCTTCGTGTGAACAATTTGTGGCATAAATGCATATACAGCAATTGAAACAAATCGTAAATGTCAAATGTCCATGCTGGCTAAGGTTATGATTTACTTCTGTTTAGACTAACAGAGATGAATTCCAACATATAAACAGAACAGCTGAGAAGCCAGAGTAAACATAACATGATTAAACACAGTAACTTGCTCTAAATCTCAAAATGCCCGTGTGAGTAGCCTGGGAACATACTCCAGATCTCATTCCTTTTAATTAAAGGTTCTCATGATAAACTATCAGGTTGCTTTAATTGGTATTTATGCATGCTGCTTCTGTACTGTTGTCTGTTACGTTTCCCATTATGAAATTATGAACTCCATAAATGGGTTCACATGGTTTTCTGGTTGTGATAAACACACCGAAGCCTGATCATTAGCAGTGCATAGTTAAATGTGCATGTTCTTCTCACATTCAGCAAGAATCTGACAGCTGGAGGCTTGGTATTTATATTTATCTGTGCCTGTAAAGCTGCCTCTTAGTTAGAATGATCTACACCTCCTTCCAGCATCCCATCCCTCTCCCCCATTTGTTCCTGCTAATTAATGAGTGTGGTGCTAATTAAAAGCCAGGCAACACTCAATACATTCTGGGTCTGTGAGAAATATTAACATTTTCATTCACAGGTCTCCGAGACTAATGAATATTCGATTGCAAAATTTCCAAGGAAAATCATAGGGTTGGGAGGAGCATGAAAGTGACAAGAAGACACGTATGTTATATATAGACCTATATTATGAAGAAGAAATGAAAGATTTCACACAGGGGGTCCTGTAACATGACAAGGCCTCATGGAGTAAAGAAAAAAGAATTAAGATTAGAAATAACTGTAGCCTAGTCAATTAAAAGACATCGTCACACCCGTCCGAGACGCGTTTCAGTATTTCATGTTGATAGAACCGAAACACTATGCCATGTGCACAAGTGAGAAAAAATGCTTTGTATGAAAGAAAAGCCCTCTGCTTCGGCCGTATGCTGAGCAACAGGATGCCTCCTACTGGGCTAAACATGTATCATCTTTCCACATAAATCAAGCCTGTGAACAAAATGTGTGTGCGGGGCGAGATAAAAAGAGGCAAGCAGCCCAAATGTGGTCTCTTGGGTACAGTTCCACACCTCCACCTCTTTCCATCCACTCCCCACATTTTAATTGCCACTGTTTGCCAATTGCCACATACTGTGCCCATAATGACTGTTCCTCACAATGCAGCCATAGCACTTGATCTCTCTTTTAATGATCCTCCTTCTGTAAATTTGTACTGCACTACTTTCTTATCTCACAGATCTTTATCAGCACCACTTGCCTGCGGACACATTAATTGTGGAGAGATTAATTGACCACAAATCCTTCAGGCATGACCTATGCGCTATGTAAAGCATTTGCGGTGCTGATTTCATTACTGACTCATAGCCCTCTATAGCTCCCTCTGTGCAATTAGTGTAAAATCTTTACTAGCGACACATATGACAGTTACATTCAATTAGTCGTATGCTGATTTCTAGTATAGAGCGAGGAGTGATAATTGTTAACATCAGATTGGACAAGGGTGTAAAAAATTATATCACTGTGATGCTATTTATAGTAGACACTGTCTATTATCATTTCTGTGTAAATCATTCGTAAAATCATGCTTATGTAAATTGCCACGTTAACAGTTTACGTAAGAATGGTTTTATGAACAATTTACATAGAAATTTGTTCTGCTTGTGTTTCATGAATGAGGCCCAATGAATACTTGTTGCTGTTCGTACGCTTAGGATTTTGGGTTTTGACTGGGAAAAGACAATTAATTCAAATGTATTCAAAATTATTCAATTTCATCAGTTTTCTGTGGTTCTTCTGGTAATAAGGAAAAAACGGAATGATACAAAAAGTAAGTCTGTTTCATGAACACAGCAACACATTTGTAACAGTGCTTATTTTGTACATGACAAAAAGAAAGACAGTTACACTGGAAACAGTTCACTTCAAAGAACTCGAGGCTTGGGAAATGTAGTGAATTATACAATGTAGTTAGCCAGAACTGGGACTTTCATTGTTTTTATCACTCTGCTTGTTGTGTTTGCGAGGTACTTGACAGACTGTCCATCTGTCCATAAGTGTTAAGAATGAATCCTGCAGATTACAGATTATCGTTATGCCAGTAGGTGGCGACAAGTGCCTGTCTTTAAACAAATTAAATAATTCGTTCAACTGACTCATTGAAAAAAAAACGGAATCATTCTAGAAGAATACAAGCAACGGTCTTTAAAGTGACGTGACATGTGGCCAAGTATGGTGACCCATACTCGGAATTAGTGCTCTGCATTTATCCCATCCAAAGTGCACACACACAGCAGTGAACACACACACACCGTGAACACACACCCGGAGCGGGCAGCCATTTATGCTGCGGCGCCCGGGGAGCAGTGGGGGTTCGGTGCCTTGCTCAAGGGCACCTCAGTTGTGGTATTGAAGGTGGGAGAGAGCGCTGTACATTCACTCCCCCCACCTACAATCCCGCCGATACGAGACTCGAACCCGCAACCTTTGGGTTACGAGTCCGACTCTCTAACCATTAGGCCACGAATCATTCAATCATTCATTCAACCAATTTATTCAAAACACTGATTTATTTTGGGACAAAATACTGTTTATGATGCAATGAGTCTACTAAGACTTTCAAACTATTGTTGTTGGCGAAGCAAAAACATATTGTCTAAGGGCATTTTCACACCTGGCTTGGTTCTAGCATTTGTTTCTGAACCTGGCACATTTCTCCCTTGGTTCAATTAATTTTGGCATATATGAACACAGCAATCACACTCGGATTCAAACCAAAATAATCGGCCCAAGACTGCCTGATTGAGGTAGTCTCAGCCCAATTGAAAACTAACTCTAAAGCGGTTGCTTGTGGTAAGAAAGCAATCTGACCCAATGGACCAATGAACCAAGCTATATTATAATTCATAATGTGGGTGAGCACATTTCTTATTTCAGTTGAAAACCAAAGAGTAGCTCTTCTCGTGGCTTTTCCTCGAAACAGATGCATTGTAAGAATGCTGTCCAGATGAAGCCTTCATTCTCGCTCTGTGTTTATATATTATATATATATATTTATATATTTTATGTAGTATGTATTTATATATCCTTGTTTCAGAACAAAACAAATAATCTACAGGTGTGAAAATGACATGAAAAGTAAGCAATATCATATGGTAACTATAAATAGCTCAGAGAAAGCTGCTGATGCAAGCAAATGTGCAATATTTATTTATGTTGCATATAATATAAAAAAGAAAAGATTGGGTCTTTAAAATGTATTTATTTTTCAGTTGGAAACTTGGAAACGTACAGCCTAAGCAATATGCAGCATTAAATTGAGCTCCTGATCCTCTGTAAAAGGATGAAATGTGCTGTATAACCAACAAAGGCTTATGCTATCTGCTGAGGCTCGTGCGCATGGCATATGCATATGCTCTGTTTGTACTCTGCCATTTAGAGCCAGGGACATTTTTCTTTGTCACATTGCTCTCCTGACTCAACCAGCTGAAAGCGGGATTAGCCTCCAGTGTCTTTGAAAAGTCAAGAAGTGAGGGAAAAATGAGGATAAAGTGATGACAGGATGGAGAGAGGGTGAGGAAGAGCGAGACAGGCAGAAACACATGGGCAGTTACATGAGCAAGAGAGCTGGAGAGAGAGCAAACAGCTTGGCTGGGAGGGACATGGCATACATATTTCATATATAAAAGACAAGCATTTCATTTCCATATTTAGTGAACACCGAGAGAGCTTATTCAAGCAGTCAGGGCTTTGCTGAGGTAGAAAATCAGCAAACTCGCTGTCCCCATGTATTTCCAAATCAATCTACTGGCATCTGCAACAGATGCATGACATGGCACGTTTGGGTTTCCCATCTGATTTCCAGAAAACCCTCGAACGTTTTCGAACTTCAAACATCTAGAAGTTTCATTGTTATCAAATGCACAGGGACCAGTCTGGCCCCTGAAAGTGTTTTAATTAGAGTGGTGGAGTGACCAAGGGGTTTAAAGTAATATTCCAGGTTCAATTTAAGTTAAGCTAAATCAATAACACTTGTGGCAGTGTTGATTACCACAAAAATTAATTTCCAGTTGCCTTGATTACAGTTAGGTGTTATTTTAATATTATTCATATACTGTCATAGTATTTATTTATATTTTAAAATAGCTTTGATTTTTATAGTTTTCATTTTAAATTTAAGCTTTTGTCATTTTAATTATTTTCAGCTTTTTATTTTTATTTCAGTTCAGTTTTAGTAATTTTAGTACTTCAACTTCACATAGTTGCCAAGGCAACATTTCTAATTTTTAGTTTAAGATTTTTGTTTGACAATTATTTTTTATTGACATTTTTTATTTTATTTTATTTCCGCTTTATTTTAAATAATAATTAAAATTTTTAGATTTAGTTATCTATCAATAACAACACAGCTTGCAATGGAAGTAATAGTGCCAGTCCAGAAATGTTAAAATACTCATTATTTCACCAGAATAGCCAAAAAGTTGCTTTTTTTTGCCTTTATTCCCACAAGGAACAAGCCAAGTACAGTTCTTAACCCCATGGAGATTGTCCCTAAAATACATTGCTTTAGATAAAAGCATCTATTAAACTGCTTACTAACTGTCTTTCTTTTTCTTTTTTTAAAAAATCAGGTGTAAAGAGGGTTTCCAGGGCATTCGCTGTGACCAGTTCCTGCCCAAGACTGATTCCATGCTGTCTGACCCAAGTGAGTGCACTTGCAATTTGCTTGAATAAATCAGATGCATGTAAATGTATACATTTTTACTCTGCTGTGTCTGAAGTTAATAGAAAACACCATGTGTACAGTCTATGGATTATACAGTCCTTTTGAAATTGTTTTGAAATGGGTGTACAGGGTCACGGATGTGATTAGAGAGAAATGGCTATATAACTTAATCATATAATCAGCTTCTAACCCAAATGAATGCTTAACCTCTGTGGACCATAATGCATTGCTGCATTAATTTGCCAATAACAACAAGGCTTTGCAGTTTGCAGTCTTACAGGCACTGTTGTCATAGAAACCTTGTCATTACTAAAGTGTCACAACATTTTCCTGACAGGAACAGATTTCTAGATTGTCCCACCCACTCAGCTAATGGCTGTATATTCACACGCTTCTACCAATCCTGAATGTCTCTTTTCTGAATGATGTATACCATTTTACCAAATAAGGCAGTGAGTGTGTGCTCTTGCTTGCATCCTGTGTGTGTGTGTGTGTGTGTGTGTGTGTGTGTGTGTGTGTGTGTGTGTGTGCATGTACAAGTGATGATTGCATGTTGTGTGCAGTGAGTAAGCCCACTTGATGAGTCACAAATGGAGCATGATTATGAGGGGTTCTGTTTGTTGACCTTCTCGTACAGATCTATCAGTGCCATTTTATATGAAAGATAATAAAATGAGCTGCTCAAGAATTTGCCATGTGCACATGGTAATTGGTGAATCCCACCAGCTGAGAATGTAAAGCACACACCCTTTTACTGAACAAAAACCAACGCGTATACTATACATCCACACTCATATGCCCACATATCACAGGATAACATTCATATTTTATATTCAGAAAAGGTATTAGTACAGCACATTGATCTGTTTTATCATATACCACCGGTTTCACAGAGAAGGTTTAAGCCTATTCCCAGACTAAAATATAAGTCTGAGCTTGCACTGATTGATCTTAAAACATGTCAGTACCTTTGTCTCAAGATGCACCAGTAATGTTTTCAAAGGGATTTATTTAAAAAAATGCTTAAATGTCCTAATTGAACAATGGCCTAATCCTGGTCTGTGAAACCAGGCCAAAAACTCATATTTCTGCAGATTATAAGATATAGAAAAAAGAAAAAAATTATATATATTATATTTTCTTTAAGCTTGCATTTTTTTACGCTTCCAATTCTCTAAAGGAATTGCAAAAATCAGGTTACAGTGCAAACGTGCCCAGAAAATCTGCATGGGACAATTTCTCATCTTGTAAGCCTGATTTTGAGCGTTAGGATATGGAGGATGTGGCAAACTGCCACTGACATACTTTACTAGAACTATACAGCATCACTCCATAACTGCAATCCAATTCCAAAAACCTAATTTACATACAAAGGAAGCATGTTTGTGTTGCAAAGAAAGACAATGACTTCATTTAAATACATTGCAGATCTATCTTAGCATATTTACCAGTCCTTTAAACAAGGTTGTAGATGGTTTATGAATTATCTGCAGGTTTTGTGGGTTCGCTTCCAACGAAGGTACCCCGTAGCATGATGATACACATTAGTGTGTGTGGCATTGTTCATAAACATAGCATTTTGCTCTGGTCTGTTTCTTCTACTTCACTTGAAGGTTAATGAACAACATTGTAATCTTCTGAATGGCACCCTGACAGAGTTTGGCACAGATTTGCTCTACAAGTCTGCCAAGTCTTAGCCACTTCTTATCACTGTTGGCACAGAGACAAGGAGCCACCTATTGAGCAGACGAAAAATAGAATTAAGCACAGCAGAGTAACCAATTTCAGACGTGTCACAACAGCAAATTGTGAATAATGAGCTTACCACTCAATTCAGACAATAATAGCTCTGTTGAAGGAGAATTTAGTGCCGTGACAAATGGCTATTGTGAAATAAAAGCCGCACACATATTTTATGTTGGCCAACTAGACACAACACATTGTTTTATACATGTGACCCTCCACGTACAGGTCACGTACACAGGATGACTTACTGGGCTTTTACAGCTCTTAAATTTTCCGTAATCTCACTGGTATCCCTTCTGTTCAGATGGTACTCTTGCCTCTTCAGATTCACATGATCTTCATCAGTTCAGAAACAAAAGTAGACAGGCTTTCAGTGTTTAAAGTTTGAGATGCCAGTGATGGGTTCACTGACAGGACAGGCACACACATAGCCAAAGTCTCTCCTGTGCCGCCGCTCTTAAAAGCAACATTCAGAGAAGACAGGGACACCCAGGGTCACGGTGTCCTTGAGTTACATGGCCAAAGCTTTCATCACACATCTCTCAACCTCTTTCCCTTTCCGTTGTGTCTCTATCCCTCCAACCTCTAGCTGATTTTCTTCATGGGTAACAATTACAACAATAGCTACACCCTAAATGGATATTTCACCAAAAACTATTTCTGTCATCATTTACTCACCCTCATGCCGTTCCAAGCCTGCATGACTTTATTTCTTCTGTCCATGAAATGACAGTCACAGGGGTCCAAAACAACATTGGGCCCCTTTTGCTTATATTGTTATGGCAAAGAAAAAAAACACCTCAACATTTTTCAGAATATATAATTTTTTTTTGCATGTGTTTAACAGTAGAAATAACGTTTTGCAAGTTTAAAGTAAATGATTTTTCAAATTTGGGTGGGTGATCTATTTCTTTAAATATTATTTTTGGGAATTAAGTAAATTACTTTCAATTTTGCTCAATTACATATTGAAGGACAAAAAGTTATACTACTTAAACTTCATGAAGACCTTATTTCAAAGGTCGAAGTGACTAAAAGTATTCTGGGTTAAATTCAAGTTAAGCTTGAAAAAAAAAATCTGTGGCCTGTGGGTTATTACCAGAGAACACATTTTTAGCTCATCCCTCAGTTTGTCAAATAGAACAGGAAATGCATTTATAGTAATGCACTTACAGTAAAAGCCTAAGAGGCAAGATAGCCTGAGGGTTAGAAAGCCTTATATTTTTGTTAAAGCGCATTTATTAAAATTTTAGTTTGTCATTTCAGATGTAATTTTGTCTAAATTGTCTTTTTTGAGGTGGGGATACTTCTAGGTGGAGGCTCTAGTTATATAATTTATTTTGGGTAGAGTTTCAGTTTATGAATAGTTATGTGCCATCCGTTCCTGGTATGTCCTCAGGGTAAAATAAGGTGAAGTTAGATACACACTTCTTCCATCTGCATTCTTCTGCATTTTGCTTGCATCCAAAAATTCCATTATGTCTCAGTGTCATATATATTCATCAGAGCACATGACCCAGGGTCAAGAAGAACATATATTCTGAATTATTACAGTCATTTTCTGGATAGCACCAAGGATCGAGCAGCCAAAGCCAAACATTTGCAAGACAAAACACCACATGTCTGCACTCCAAGTGAATTATGAAGAATCAAATGTTCTTTTTGTTCATTTCATTGGAAGATAATGCCAGACATTTAAAACATGCATGTAGTCTCTATCAGTGACCTCTTTGAATATCATTTTTCAAGATCAAAATCTCCCGTATGAAACAAATTCATTTTCATCTGTAGTTTAAGCTAAACTAAGATAACTCTCACTTTCTTGATCTACCGTCAGTTCTTGATCTGTTTGATGGAAAGAAGTGCACACTATAAAGGCAAATATACATTTCTCTCCTTCACAGTACATAGGACAGGATGAAGGGTTTTCTCTTAAAACATCAGAGATTTGATGTGAATGTGCTCTTGCAGCATCAGTTGCTATTGTGCATTTAAAGAGATAAAAAACATGAACCCTACAATTTAGTTTTTTATCTTTTCACCCTTCTTGATCATCTCCGTTTCTGTAGATTTATCGCACATTTAAAAGCCAGTAATATTCAAGTAGTGTTAATTTTTACTGCATTTTAACATAAATATACTTTAAAAAATTATCATATTTATTCATTTTAGTCCATTTTACTCTGACTGAAATGACAACTAGTTTTAATCAAGCATTATGAGCTGTACAGATATATGCCACCCCTGTGGCTTAGAAATAGGAATGGCTTTTACATTATCTTGCCCATTCAAGACTTTTGCACTTTGACGCACTGAAGGTTTCAAAATGTTATTAAAGTGTCTTACCCCATTGTTGCATAAATATTTCTCCTCGTCGTTTGACTTTTTCAGAACAAAAAGTGCATGTTATTTGATTGGGTGTCTATTTTGCCTTTCATCATCACACAAAATGGGCAATGAGGCAACTGCAGTATCATTGGGGCAACACGCTAATGGATTGCAGTCTCTAGAGCCAATTTACCTTGACGCATGGGAAAGTATAACACAAGCGTAAAGGGACATTTTAAACTGATTGCTGCAATTCATCTGTTGAGGCCCGGTGCAGTTCTGCTTGTTCACACTTGTAAAATATTTATCCAGGTATGAGGTAATGCTTTCGGATGGGTCATTTACAGTGAGATCTAGATCTTGTCAGCCCTCTTCATATTGAAAAATAAGTGAATTGTATGCTGACTGTGTTCTCTTACGTTACAGTCTCCTTGGCAACGTGCCACGTAGGCAGGGTTATAAGGGCTATTTTTCTTCTTTATGTATCTTGGCTGAGAATAAAATGCATGTAGCGAAGCTAATTTTTAACCTGTGGAGCTTCTATTAACTACCTGCCTGAAGACGGTCATCTTCTCACATTTTCCTATGATAACTCAATTTAGCATCCATCTGGCAACAATTCAGGCAAATGTCAAGAGTGTTCAATACATCTGATTTACAGCAATCATGTACGACATGATTTATGCACTCAGGGTTTAATGCACATTACCACTTTGTGCATTTCTATTCTGCTTGATTGACAGCGACCTATTAGCTCTCAATTTCACGCGCCTCCGAAGAGACCTGCTGTTTATTTGTGGAGTTATCTGTTTGTTATTGTTACTTTGAGGGCCTCCTCCTAATTTCAAAGCTTTACGAGAACAGATCCCTCATTTTGGTTGCCCAGATTCCCTGCTGATCACAGT